CCGTCACAACCCTTATAAAGTAGCTGCTGTGATGAGTAACTTCTTTGTTTGCTTCTGAAAGAACAAGTGTCCACAGTACCCGCCAGGTGCCATTCAGTGATCTGACCAATTTCTTTTTCAGTGCAACGTACAGGAATGATACTATCCAGATGGAGGACTGGAGAGAAACAGCTAAATGATGGCAGTGATGATGGCCAAACCTCTCACAACCCTTATAAAGTAGCTGCTGTGATGAGTAACTTCTTTGTTTGCTTCTGAAAGAACAAGTGTCCACAGTACCCGCCAGGTGCCATTCAGTGATCTGACCAATTTCTTTTTCAGTGCAACGTACAGGAATGATACTATCCAGATGGAGGACTGGAGAGAAACAGCTAAATGATGGCAGTGATGATGGCCAAACCTCTCCATGTGGAAGAGCTCTGTCAAGAGAACATGCCCTTCTAATGCACTGTGTCTTCTGGAGTTCCTCAGCATTAGCCCTGTTGCCTTTTTTTTCAGTGCCTAGGTGCCCTCTGCAGATAACCTACTGGTCTGAGTGTAACCCACACACCTAGGCTACATCTACACTGCAAGCTTCTTGCACAAGAACTTAAGTTCTTGTGCAAGAGCACATCCACACTGCCATGGACACTCTTGTGCAAGAAACCCCTGTTGTCCGTCCACACACACCCTTTTGCACAAGTGGTCTTGCGCAAAAAGGCTTATTCCTCGTAGAAAGAGGAATAACTCTTGTGCAAAAGCCCTGTCTTCTGACAATCTACTGTACTTTTTCTTGTGCAAATATGCACTTGTAGTGTGGACGCTCTGTGAGTTTCTGTGCAAAAACAGCCAGTTTTGCGCAAAAACTCTGCAGTGTAGACATAGCCCTAGTGAGGTTTACTGTCCCGTGTAGTGGTACTCAGACCACAGCAACAAATAAGAACAAGAGACCTCTACAGCCTAAGCTGAGAGTTAGCTGGCTTTTAGCTCAAGCAGTAAAGGCTCTACACTAAGCTCCAGAGGTTCCCAGGTTCAGATCTGCCCAGTGGTGGTTACATGAGCATGCTGTGCTCTGTCTTGATCCAAACAGCCTAGCAGATGGAGTACTGCTTGGGTAGGTCCCTCAAGCTTCTTGCAAATGGCCATTGCCCATGACTGGATGAACGTTGGGTGCCTGAAATCAGACAAACATAAATGGCTATTACCTGGGTCTGTGAATGGGTGGGTAGGTCCCTTTGTAAGCAGGTACAAATGGCTGTGATGGACACTGTTTGCTTTGGGGGATCGAAGCTGCTGTTTGGGGTTCTTGCTGAGAAGTAGGCTATTGTGAGGTTTTAGGTTTGGACTCCTGCTTTGGTTTTGGACTGATCTTTATCCTTTACACAGTATTGTTGATTTTCTCTCTCTCAGGCTGTGTGCGCCACCTTGCCAGAGATGGTCAGAGTCTTGTCAGAGAATGGTGCAAACCCAAGGTAAGTTACTGCAAGCCTTGCTGAAGTTGGGCTTTCACAAGCTGTGGTTTTCAATTATGAAGTCTCTTGCAGTGGTGAGTTGTGTTTTAACCAGTGCTACGATTATCTGCTAGATTTTAGTTAAAAATCTGGCAATATGGTATGATCTGTAGCTTTAATTAGCCTTTCTAAGAGGTCCATATTTGCCTGGCTCTGCACTCTTTCGACTCCTTGGGATTGTTTAATGCTTCTGGAAAAAAATTCCTGGAGTCCTTTTGAGAAGATCCTTTGTTTTCAGGGAGCAGTATGAACAGCATTAGTGTTATGTATGTCAGCACTGACAAGAAGGTCTTTGGCTATCTAGTCCAATTCTGCTCCTGTGGAGAGAAGGATTTTCCTTTACACTATCTCTCTTTAAGCATTCTAATTTCCTTGAGTGCTTCACTTCATTGGGAGTTAGGGACCTAAATACCTATGAGGAACTGGAGCCCCTGTTACAATGCACCGTGATAGGGGGTCCGTCCTATCCTGGACCTTGCAACAGAGATGATGGGTTGCATGCAGGTGTCCTGTTGCTGTACATGAGAGGCAAGCCACTTGCAGAGCTCCAGGGAGGTGTTCTTCCTCATACCGCAGTTCTGGAGACACTGCTGGTCATCCCATTACTCCTTGATGATCCAGTCCCACCAGTTGGAACTGACGTCCTGGCACCAGAAGCGGTGGTGCACAATGTGCAGGGGAGGTGGAAGGGAATGTGGTGCAGGCCGCCTTTCTGCACAATTGAGGGGTACATGTGTTCCCGTATCTCGACGATTGGTTAATCCAAGGTCGCTCGTACGAGCAGGTAGAAGCTCACGTATCACTCATAAGAGCTCTCTTCTTAAGGTTAGGGCTCTTGATAAATGTCGAGAAGTCATCCCTGACCCCCCTCCCAGAGCATAGAATTTGTGGGAGCCCTCCTCGATGCGAAGGTGGCAAGAGTGTTCCTGCCCCACAGCAGGTTCCTCTCCATAGTGGAGCTGATCTCGGAACTAATCCAGTTCCCCATCACGACTCCTCGAGACTGCTCCAGGCTCCTGGGCCATATGGCAGCTTCAACTTACACAGTGCGACAAGCCAGGATGAGGATGAGACCTCTGCAGGCATGGTTGGCGAAGGCCTTCTGCCAGTCCAAGGGTCTATGGGACTCCATAGTATCAGTGCCCCCGGACATTCTGGACTCCCTACTCTGGTGGACCCAGGAATCCGTGGTGCACAGCAGGGTTCCCTTCAACGCCCCTCCCCCCTCGCTGACTCTGGTCACCGATGCGTCCGACCTAGGATGGGGTGCACACCTCGGGTGCCACAGAACTCAGGGCCTCTGGTCCCCTTCTGAACGGTCCCTGCACATCAACGTCCGGGAACTGCAGGTGGTGAGGAGGGCCTGCGAAGCATTTCTGCCGAGGCTCTCCCACCGCTCCATCCTGGTACGTATGGACAACACTGCAGCGGTTTTCTACCTCAACAAGCAGGGTGGGGCACGTTCACCACCCCTATGCAAGGAGGCCCTGCTTCTATGGCATCTATGTGTCACACACGACATCACGCCTCAGGCGGAGTACCTCCCCGGGTGCAAGAACCTTCTTGCAGACACACTGAGCAGATCCTTTGGAGCCCACGCGTGGTCGCTCAAGGACTCTGTCCTCAGCCAAGTTTTCCGCAGGTGGGGCTATCCCCACCTAGACCTGTTTGCCTCGGCACGCAATACGAAATGCAGGAACTACTGCTCCCTGCTGGGGCTGGGGAAATCTTCCAAGGGAGATGCCCTAACGGCCACGTGGCCAAAGGGCGTCCTCTATGCTTTTCCCCCATTCCCACTAATTTCCAGGGTATTGACCAGAGCGAGAACTTTCAGGTCCTCGATCATCCTCATAGCCTCCAGGTGGCCCATACAGTTCTGGGCAGCCGGGACCTGCTCAGGGAGCGCGCCAGGGAGGCTCTCCAGACGCTCGTGGAACAAAGCACTTCTGGACCACGCTAATGGTTCACCCGGATCTCTGGTCTCTTCACCTGACGGCCTGGTTTATCCGTGGTTGAATCAACCAGAAATGGAATGTTCCCGATAGGTACAGATGGTGCTCCTTAGCAGCAGGAAGCCCTCTACCTGACGGTCATATGCTGCCAAGTGGCGGCGCTTCTCGTCTTGGGCGTCCCGGAGAGGAGTACATCCGTCCTTGGCCCCTGTTCCAGCTATTGTCGACTGTCTCTTTCAACTCCGTTCTTCTGGCCTGTCCTCTTCTTCTATTAAAGTCCATGTGGCGCATCTCTCCCCCTTCCATGTCGGTACGGCAGGAGCCTCTCTTTTTTCTAACCAGGTGGTTAAAAGGTTTCTTACTGGTTTGGAGAAACTGTACCCCTCGGTGAGGGCTCCATACCCGGAATGGAACCTCAACCTGGTTCTTCACAGGCTTATGTCCCCTCCTTTTGAACCTTTGGCTACCTGCTCACTGAAGCACCTTTCATTGAAGGTTGCTTTCATAGTAGCCATTACGTCTGCTAGAAGGATATCAGAGTTAAGGGCGCTGACTATAGAGCCGCCCTACCTTGTTTTTTCACCTGATAACGTGAGGCTACGGCCTCATCCAACCTTCCTCCCGAAGGTAGTTTCCCCTTTTCACCTATCCAAGGAGATTTATTTACCGGTGTTCTTCCCTAAACCTCACGCATCCCCTAAGGAGCGTGTTCTACACTCCCTGGATGCCAAGCGAGCGCTAGCCTTTTATATCGACCGAACCAAGCTCTTCCGTAAATCCCAACGGTTGTTTGTTACATTTGGGGGAAAGGGAAAAGGTTCACCTATTTCTACGCAAAGGTTATCAAGATGGGTGGTGCAACATATAGCAAAGTGTTATCAACTGGCTGGTAAAACCCCAGCCAGGGTGAAGGCACATTCTACCAGGGCACAGGCATCCTCGGTAGCCTTTGGTGCCCAAGTACCGATCACAGAAATTTGTAGGGCAGCCACCTGGTCTTCCCTCCACACATTTACAACACATTATGCGCTACCTCAACAGGCCAAGGAGGATGCAAGGGTGGGCTCTGCAGTCCTTGAATCTGTGATGTAAATATGTAAATATATAGATCTGGTTGTCTTGTTCTGGGTTGGTGACTTGTCACTGTTTATTTGTTCAAATAAATCTGTTATTGTTCACCTTCCTTTGTGACTGTGGTGCTATGACTCTTCCGACCCCTCCTCCTTGTGGTTAGCTTGGTAGTCACCTACTTTGAATGGACATGAGCAACCACTCGAAGAAGAAAAGAATGGTTACTTACCTGTAACTGTTGTTCTTCGAGATGTGTTGCTCATGTCCATTCGACTCCCACCCTACCTCCCCTTCGTCGGAGTATCCGGCAAGAGGGAACTGAGGTAGGGCAGCGTCGGCAGGGGTACTTATGCCCCGCCATGGCGGCACCACTCCAGGGGGCGCCCCGCCGGCGCTACGGGTACCGCTAGGGAAAACGCTCCGGAAGATGTGGTGCACGCGGCGCGCACACCTACTTCGAATGGACATGAGCAACACATCTCAAAGAACAACAGTTACAGGTAAGTTACAGTTCTTTTCTTTTGTCATCTCAGCCTTTATGGCCCCAGTGGCTTTAGTGTGTTTTACAGGTTTTGTTTAATCTTTATTGCAAAATCAATGCATCTAAGGCCTTTCCTGATTGCCTGAGCTATAAATAAAACACAAATCAGCTGAGCTTCAGGCCCCTTGTTTTTGCCATATTGATCTTGTCTTTTGTCTCAATGAGTGTGGCATTTTTCATGTGAAATGAAAAGTTGTGGTCACTGGCAGTTACATCCTGCTGTCTGTTGGGGCCCTTTGCTAACTGCTGATGTGATAATTGACTTTGCATGACATGGAAACACTTCTGTTTAAATGTTTGGATATTTATTAGCACAATCTGTACTTGACCACATGTGTTAAATGTTCTTTGATTGACAGCAGGTCTTAAAGTTATATAAAAGGATCAGCCAACACAAATCCTACTGTGTCCATACAGTCATTGCATTGCTTTTTTCAGTGAAATATATATTTAAACAAAATAAAGCTTGTGCTTTTCCTAATGAGATTACTCCCGAAGAAGTGCTTTTTGGGGGCTTTAATGCTGGTGTAGTAGTTTAGTTGCTCTGTGGCCTAGTAAAAGGTCTCTCCTTATCATACTTTAGCACAGGCATGTCCAAAGTCCGGCCCGCGGGCCAATTGCGGCCCATGTTCCGTTTTAATACGGCCCCACAGGTAATTTGGCAATATCTATCTTTTATGGCCCCCAACGAATCCATATGTATTGAGATGAATACATTGTAAAATCTCAGTTAATGTCAGTTGGTCTAAATCAGTTATAAATATATTTGGACATAACATGTATACTTGGTGTTATGTTCCTGTTCATATTTTTTGAACTTAAAAGTTGACAGACAACCTTTATTACCAATAATATGTAATGTACTTTACAATGTTCCTGACGTATATTTCAGCTTCCTGGATTTTTTTTTCATCTGGCCTTCAGATATGAAAGGCAGAGTGATTTAACACCTGTTTAGATTTGTCATCCATGTGACGAAATGAAAAGTGTGCCGTTTGCAATAAACTTTGCATAAAATAGTTAATTTGCATTTAATTTTAATGGTTCAAAGAATGTCAGGCAAAATGGTCGGCCCTCACGCATGTTCACTTCATCAAATCTGGCCCTCTTTGAAAAAAGTTTGGGCACCCCTGCTTTAGCACTTTCCCCAGGGGTTTAGGTGCTGGTTGTATGGGGCTGTTCCCATTGGGAGTGTGGACCATTCTCACTGATGTTTACTCTCAGATGGTTGCTTTCCTGCCATTGAAGGGGAATGTGTTTTACCTTCTGTCTAAGTTTGCAGTGACATAGAGCAGGGTACAGTGGAGATTGCTGGGAGCTCTCAGAATAAATCTTTTATTACTTTCTGGTATATATTTAAGCCGTTAGAAAGTAGCCAGCCTCTTTGCTTCCCTTGAGCCAAATGAAACTGAGACGAATGTATGGAGCTAGCAGCGACCATTCCTCCATGCAGGAACTGAACCGCCTGCATTGATTACGATGGGGTCACCTTATTTCCAGATCCATCCAAGGCCGACATGATGCCCTTGTAGGCACCAGCCATAGCAGGAGATGTTTCCTGCATCCCAGAGGGGTTGCGATTGCAGCACATCATTTTCAGCAGGCAGTCCCGGAACTAAGTGGGGAAAGCACATGTGTTACAGGAAAATTCACTAGATAAGAGAAGGAAGCAGGCTGCTAACACACTGCTCCTGGGTCCCTTTATGCCAAACTACTACATCGGGTTTTGCTTTACTCAGATCCTATAACCTATGAGATGTAGCCTGGATAATTTTGGCTCAGACTAATGGCTCATTTAGCCCAGTAGCCTGTCTCCGACCATGGCCAGTACAAGAGCTTCAGAGGGAGTGTACAGAACAGGGCCTTTCTGGAGAGATTCACACCATCTTCCCCTTCTGGTTTCGGACAGTCAGGGTTGCCTTCAGCATGGGGTTGTGTCTCTTGGCCCTGGATGAAAAACTGTCCTTGAATTTATCTAGTTCTTTTTTCATCCCACATGTATTTTTGTCCATCACAACATCCCATGACAGCAAGATCCACAAGTGAATTGTACATTGTGAGAAAAAATACTTCCACTTGTTTGTATTGAATCTTCTGACTATTCATTTCATTAGGTGGCACCTGTTTTTTTAATTGTGGGAAAGGGCAATAAAAGTTCTCTTTTCACTTTTTCCACACCATTTGTGATTCTATAATATGCACTACATTGTATGTAGTAAACCTCCCAGATAGAGGCTGTGTGAACAGTACCTAGCCCAGTGTGAATGCAAATATAGTGTTGGGGTTAGTTTAGTGCCTTCCTGCTCTGTGCAGACGCTGACAATTGGTAAACATCTGTCTGCTTGCTGTGCAAACTCAATCAGGCAATTCATGATCCAAAAATAAGTCAGTTGCCTCTACAAAATTTCAAGTATGCAAAAGGATCTCTGGTTAAGGCCAGGTTGAAAATCAAGCTCCATCTTCATTTTACACTTTAGCCTGGCTTGTTGTAAAGATACAGTCAGTGGGATCTAGCATTGACAGGTACCACAATAGGATAGACTTGCTGTGCAAACTCAATCAGGCAATTCATGATCCAAAAATAAGTCAGTTGCCTCTACAAAATTTCAAGTATGCAAAAGGATCTCTGGTTAAGGCCAGGTTGAAAATCAAGCTCCATCTTCATTTTACACTTTAGCCTGGCTTGTTGTAAAGATACAGTCAGTGGGATCTAGCATTGACAGGTACCACAATAGGATAGATATGCTAAGCAGCCCCTAGCTCTGTGAAGGCTTGTTTTCAGTTGCTGTCTGATCATCTTCATTCTCTCACCTGTTTGTTCATGAAGATGTAAATAACTGGGTTGTAAACAGTGGCTGTTTTGGAGAAGTATGAAGGCAGGGATGCTAGAGTTGGCTGGATGGGGATGTCTTTATTTGTGGCAACCACCATGGCAAAGGTGGCATAGGGCAGCCAGCAGATAAGAAAGGCCATCACCATAGCAATCACCATTCGTGTCACCTCCCTCTCAGCTCGCCGAGTCGTCTCCGATTCTTTTTGTTGAGCGGCAACCTACAGGCAATATGAGGGAAACAGACAATCTGTCACCCACCCCATTACACAGAAAATAATTACGTCTCATAAAATGGTCTAGGCTGGGGAAATTTTTCTGGACAAGTGGGTGTGTGGGGCACACTTGTTAGCTACATTCGTCTCCCTTCCTGTTTAGTTGCCTGTTTGAAGTGGTGGAATGGGTTCTGGAGTGGCCTAAGGGATAGGGCTGTTTCCAACAAATGGCCATGGAAAATTGCACTGAAAACCTGTGTCTGCAGTTTGCCAGTAGCGCATGTGATCGGTTAGACTGAAATGTCTATGTACTTACAGCTCGTAGCGTCACCAGCAGATTTGTATAGGAGAAGAGGATCAGACTGAGAGGAATAATGAAACAAGTAACAAACAGAGTCATGATGTAGCTGTTGTTGTTGCTGCCACCGGTGTACCAGTTGGGCCCGCATGAGGTTCTCAGACCTGGAACAGGGAGATTTTTAACAATGCTAGGACAATTCTGAAGCATGATCAGTAGAAAAGACACAAACAGCAAATACTCTCTACTCTTCTTGCTGAATTAAGCCTGTTTTCCTAAAGCAACTCTCCAAATTCCAGCCAAATCACATGACTAGCACTGGTCTCAGCTATGATGATTTCTGACTGGTGGTGCCATCGTTATTAATTTACAAACAAACCACAATGTATGATAATCATAATATTAAAGTAAACTTCCAGACAAACACATTTTTGATAGGCTTGTTCTGTGCTTTAGCCATTTTGCTGAGCTACCCTGGATGCAGTGACTGTAATCAGTGACAACTCTCCGCTGCTCCTCTGGCCATCAGACCTTGTGTTAAGCGTATGCATAATGAGACAATAGATGTTCCTCAGTGTATTGTAATAAGCAGCTAACTTTTAAAGAGTGACATGTGAGAGCAAACCCTGTAATTAATGAGAAAACAAGGAGAGATTGCACTTGGAGAAATCAGCCACACAATCAAATACAAATCATAATGGTTTCTCCCCAGATATGTCAGACCAAAAAAACTCTGTCTGGGACTAAAGAAAAAAACTGCGTAAATCAGCCACACTAATGCTGCAGACTTGAAGGCTTTCTTTTAAGAATATGACACATACCTTCTGGCACATAGCTGCTCCAGCCTAACATTGGTGGGGCTGTCCAGAGGAGTGACCAGATCCAGGTGAACACACAGCCCATCACTGCATGTTTGTGTCGAAATCGGAAATCTCCCATAGGCTTGCAGATGACAATATACCTTTCGAAGGCCAGGATCGCCAAGGACCAAAGCCCCACAGTGCCTGAGACAGATCACTAGTGATTAGTACGTGTGGCGTATGATTTCAAATTGCTTGCTATTAATTATCTAGCAGCGTTCTGTGCTTAACTGCTAGATCTGCAGTGCCAGGTTTTCTTCAGCTATCCTGTTTTGTCCTGGTGAAGACAGCTCCATGGAGTGAGTTACATTCCAAGCAGCTATCTTGCAGGTACTTGAAAGCAAGCAGGCAAAACCAGCAGCGAAAAAAGTTTCACTGTCATCCTGTATTGATAAACCTGAGAACGGCCGTAGTGAGTCAGCCCAAAGGTCCATCTAGCCCAGTATCCTGTCTGCCGACAGTAGCCAATACCAGATCCTTCAGAGGGAATGAACAGAGCAGGGCATCAGCTAGTCATCCATCCTATGTTGCCCATTCCCAGCTTCTGGCAAACAGAGGCTAGTGACACCCTCCCTGCCCATTTTGGCTAAAAGCCATTGATGGACTTGTCTTCCAGGACCTTCTCTGTGTTATTATTCTTATTTATTTTACAATTGCACCAAGAGCCTGCTGCTCTCTATTTAATAAACTATCTATTAATCAATCTGGGGCTGTCTAAAATTCAAGTACATGGTATTTCCTAGGACATACCATTCCTATGTTCTAAGGCAGCTTTCAGGCATCTCATGGAGGTGAGCTAGACTGCCTTAGCAGTCATCAGTATGTATAGGACTCTGATCTGCCAGCTGCAGTAGTGTCTGAAAGGCAGTTTCTCCCCTGGAGTGTTTCGCCCATGACACTGAATTTGGTGCATCATATTCTTGATGCTCATAGAAATATTTTTAAAATTTGATATAAAATATCTGCAGAATGGAATGAGAGCAGTGCAAATGCCATGGACCTCCCCCTTCACTGCCTCTTGCACACATGGCCACTGATCATTCACAGCAAAATGAATGAGAACTCGTTTCTTTGTTTTTGTAGGCATGTCACTGAAAGCCTGACCATTCTGTCTTGTCATCCCAGGGCTGGCCAGCCTAACAGCTTTGACAGCTTTGATCTGAGGAAGTGGGTCTCGCCCACGAAAGCTCATCACCTAATAAACCATCTTGTTAGTCTTTTAAGTGCTACATCGTCCTGTTTTTTGTTTCAGCTTTGACAGTGGTAAGTGATACAGACATGACATAGCCTAGTACAATAAGTTACATATGCTATAACAATTTTCCATTTCTTCCCTTCCTGTTTTAAGCGCATCCCAAGGCCAAACCTGAGGATCAGCTCAGCCAATGTGTTCTGAACTCCCCAGGTCAGCAAGCACTTGCTCTCCCATTCCTTGCTAGTGAGCATATGGAATGATACCAAATGTAGCATTGTGAGTAAAGCTCAGTCTTTGTTTTATGGTTTGAGAAGAGGCAAGGGAGGAGACATTTGATGGCCAACAATAGCCAATGAGCCATAGTTATTAATATAGTCGCAGACCAGCTTTTGATCAAGTACAGTCGCACTAGCAGAAGACAGAAATTAGCCAGCTGATTTTTGTAAATGTCCTTACCTGTTAAAGAGACCAGGAAGCCTTCTAACCCGCACACCCTTTTGCCGAGCACAAAGAAGCCATTGATGTTGTTGGAGAAACTGATGGTGCTTCCGAAGAAAGTCACCAGCAGATCAGCCACAGCCAGATTCACCAGAATGTAGTTGAGTGGGGATCTGAGTTTCTTGTACCTGATAGAAACCACAATGACCAAACCGTTCACAAATGAGGCAGAAAACACCACTATGCCCATTAGCACAGCCACTGATGTGTAGATGCTTCTGGGAGCCAGATGAGGCCACTGTGGACCCTCAAAGGTGCTGGGAGTTCTGTGTTGCACGGGAGCCTGAGAAGTGTTTGAAACATTCATTTCTCTTCCGGGGAACGTAAAACATAGACCTGAAAAGACAAAGCAGGTGACTTTCCTGAAAGGGCAACAGGCTCTCTTTTATGAAGCCAGGGGCTTAGGGACCCCAAAGAGGATCTGTAGATTAAAAAGGCTTAAGGTGTTTTAATACAGAGTTTTTATAATCAGCTCTTTACTCATAAGGGGATAGAGAATCACTCACAATCTGACAGGTGAAAGCTGCATCATTTAATTAAGTAGATTTTTGAGTGGTTTTCCAGTAGTGTAGTTAAATGACAGCAGGCGCATTTTTATAAACAAAGCCTTTTTGGAGCCAAATCCACACCAGTGTCGTATTTGGGTTTCCTGGAGTGTAATGATCACAGTTGCTTGTGTGTTCATGGTTATTGTATTTAACTTGCCCTTATCAGTGTTTGGGCTCAGAGGGCAGGGATTGAAATACATGACTGCTGCTAAGCCGATTATAGATTAATGTGTATGACACTAGCACGGGGAGGTCTGGGCCCATTGAGCTGGCTGCAGCACAGACGTATCACCAAGAGAGGACCAGCCCAAAAAGCCTGCAATATAAGTATACAACTACAGACAGCAGGTGGATAAAACAGCAGCTCTGGGGAAGCACTGGGCCACAGTGAGATGATATACTCAGCATTAAGGGTCCTTTCAGGGGTGCAGAGAGCAGAATAGTCCTGGCTATTGCAATGCTGAGAATAAACACTCTTGGTCTCCAATGAGTGAGACAGTAGAGTTTGTTTGCTTATTGTACTTGCCAGGCAATCTGGTCTTGGTTACTGTACAGTAGGGGTGTAAAAGAGCAGGCGATTAGTCGACAAGCCTAAGCTTACCAAGTAGTCGAGTTGACTACTCGCATCCCCCCCCCCCACCTGCTGCCTCTATATCAGAGCAGGTGGGTAAGCAGGAGCTGGTGCTGAGCAGGTTCCCCCGAAGCATTCTCTCTGCAGTGCCACTTGGACTCCCGCCCCTGTGCTGCTGCGTCTACTTCTCATGCATGGGCTGCTGCCAGCTGGGCAGGCAGCCCTGCTCAGTTCTTGCTCCTGCCGGGACCAGGATCAAACCCTGCTGCAGCTCTGCAATTTAAAACACAGTAGGAGCTTTGGGGTCAGAGTGCCTGGCTCTTACTGCCTTTTAAATTGCATAGCCACAGCAGGAACAGAGCCAGCTGTCTTCCACTATCAACGAATCAAGTAGTCGGTAAAAATTCTCTCGACTACTCGATTAGTAACCTCATTGTAACATCCCTAGTGTACAGTGCGCCTTTGCCAGGTGTCAGGTTAGACTGGCTCACCCTGGTACCCGCACAGCACCTTTGGTCAATAAGGTCTGCGTTTCCTGCACAAGGGCACATCCCCTTTCAATAGCATGCCCTGCTGTGGACCCAGTGCGCTGCTTTGGCTTTTGGCTCAGATTGCTGCTCCGGCACAACTGTACTGCAACAGGGTAATTGTGAGTCCAGAGCAGATCATGGACTCTCCACTTCCTAGCACTTCCTACCCCTCTCTCTAAGGCAGAGGCCGAGACTCCATTTGGCCCATTGCTGAATTGATGCCAGGAAGCTCCAAGATATCCTAACACTGGGATGAGTGCTTTAAAGGGGCCATAGTAGAATGAAGCCCTGGAGCTCCTTGACTGGGCGGTGAGGCACAGCGAGCAGGGTGTCCTCATGAGAATGGCCAATATTGTAAAAGGGAAAATGGGTGGTTTCATTGACTGATTGGCAGTGAAATAGCTGGGCACATGTGACTGTGCTTTGGTGTGTGCCATTGTTTACATTGACTGCTTTTGTGTTTTTACAGGTTTTTTGAGTGCAGAGCCTGCTTCTGCTGCTGACTGGTTTGCAGCGAATCAATCAACCTTTGTATGTTTGGGAGTGGACTGTTCCTAAAGTAGTGAGATAAGTGTTAACAAACAGGCATGTGTGCAAGATTCTAGTCTGATTGAGAGATCAAAGCAGGTCTGCTCAGTCTCAGCCACAGGACAGTCAGTAGGGACCAACGTGATCATCTAGACCTCCTGCACATTGCAGGCCACAGAATGTCATCCATCCACTCCTGTTACAGACTCCTAACCCCTGGCTGAGTTATGCTAGCCCTCATGTGCTTGTCGTGCTTACTGTGTAGCTCTCTTGTGAGCAGTTGACACCAGTGTAGCTATAATATTAAGGGGCAAGCTAAACGAGGTGGGGTAGGGTAGGCTAAATCACTTTTGCTGTTCAGGAAGACACTGGGGCTACGTCTACTCTGGCACCCTTTTCCGGAAATGCTTAAAACGGAACAGTTTTCCGTTATAAGTATTTCCAGAAAAAGCACGTCTACATTGGCAGGATGCTTTTCCGGAAAAGCACTTTTTCCGGAAAAGCGTCCGTGGCCAATGTAGACGTGCTTTTCCGGAAAAAAGTCCCGATCGTCATTTTCACGATCGGGGCTTTTTTGCGGAAAAGACTACTGTGTTGTCTACACTGGCCCTTTTCTGGAAAAACTGTTCCGGAAAAGGACTTTTGCCCGAACGGGAGCAGCATAGTTTTTCCGGAAAAACAATGACAATTTTACAGTAGATCGTCAGTGCTTTTCCGGAAAAGCAAGCAGCCAGTGTAGACAGCTGGCAAGTTATTCCGGAAAAGCAGCTGCTAATCACTAAACAAAGCCTTGGTATCTAACTAGGCACTCGCCTGCCGGTTGCAATAGCCATAGCTAACTACTTTTCAGTGTTTCTCTGAAGCTTATCACTGTAGTGTCCAAGCAGCTCATACCTGTTAATGATCTTGGCCGCTCAGAAAGAAACACTTGTCACCATCTTACAGAGTGGGGAGGGTAACTGAGGCTTGTCTCCACTACTGGGTGAATTGAGGCTGTGGCTCTGGTGGCAACGTGAAGGGCCCAGCACCGCAGCCCCTTTTAAATTGCCAGGCCCTAGGCAACTGTCTCCTTTGTCTCTCCTGTCGGTGGCCTTGTATGCTGTCCATGAGCTCTTCATGGTAGTTTGGTTTTCGTGATATTGAGCTTCAGTGTTGTTCCTTGCAGGTGTGAGCTGCTCAGACACTACTGTGATGAGTGCTACTCCCCTGCACTGCAAGCCTGTCATTGCACGGCATCACAGACATGCTCTTCATCTTTTGGAACAAACTTTCAAGCCCTGTCTGTGCAATCATGTCCCACTCCTGACAATTTGGCTTGATTCTGCAAACAGGCTTGTAAAATCCATGTCTGGGTGCTGTGCCTGTAAATTATTCAGGGACAGAGGCTGGTTTGACACCATGCCTTTATATAAATGATAGTAATACCTTGCTCAGACATAGTGCTTGTTAGCCACAGATTGCAACATACTCACAAAGGAGGTTAGTAACTTTTTCCCTGCTATAAAGTCGGGGATACAGAGGCATAGAGAGGGGAAATGACTTTCCCAATATCACTTTCTAGGTCAGAAGTAGAATCTTGGTCCCTTGAGTCCAATTCCAGTGCTATTTCCACTAGGCAGCAGTACGGCTAACTGCATTAGCTCTATGATAGGGAGGCAGGATCTATTTCTTGCATCTCTTTTGTGTTTACTAATCAACCTAATTTTGGCTGCCTTAGACACTCAAGCTGTGTCTACATTGGTACTGCTGCCTAGTGGAAAAAGCACTGGAATTGGACTCAAGAGACCAAGATTCTACTTCTGACCTAGAAAGTGATATTGGGAAAGTCATGACTACACTGCCTGTCTACACTGGCTGCGAGTTCTTGCGCAAGTACACTGATATTCTAATGTGTGAAATCAGTACTTCTTGCGCAAGAGCTATGATGCTCCTGCTCAGGAATAAGCCCTCTTGCGCAACTGTTCTTGCGCAAGAGGCCAGTGTAGACAGGCAACATGAATTTCTTGCACAAGAAAGCCCTATGTTTAAAATGGCCATCAGAGCTTTCTTGCGCAAGACAGCATCAATGCTGGCACGGATGCGGTTGCGCAAAAGCACATGCCAGTGTAGACACTCTCTTCTGGAAGAGTTTTTGCACAAGAACTCTTCCACAAAAGGGTTCTTGCACAAGATCATGCCAGTGTAGCCGTAGCCTCATAGTCTCTGACAGGTCAAGAGGGAGGGAGTGCAGTAGTTTTTTTAGATTGTTTTCTTTGGGGCAGGGATCATCTATTTGTTCTGTGTTTGTACCGCTCCGAGCACAGTGAGGTCCAGGACTGGGGCTCCTTGATGCTATAGCATAACATTAATAAGCATTTTAAAGCACAGTACCATGTTTTGTATGCCTGGGAGCCAGATCCCTAGCAGGTGTATGTGGGTACAGAGCAATTACCTGGATTGCAGCTATGTTGATTTATACCAGCTGAGGATCTGGCAGATGGAGTTGTGATAATGCAATGGGATTTAACTATACTCTGGGGCTACATCTACACTGGCAGCTTCTTGCGCAAGAACAGTTGTTGTTCCGCAAAAACTTGCCGGCTGTCTACACTGCACAAGCATTCTTCCAGAAGTAAATTTACAGTACAGCGTTGGAAAACAGGGCTTCTTCCAGAAGAGTTATACCTCTCTTCATGAGGAATAAGCCCTCTTGCACAAGAGCTCTTCCAGAAGAGGCCAGTGTAGACAGGCAACATGAATTTCTTGCATAAGAAGCCTCTATGGTTAAAATGGCCATCAGACCTTTCTTGCGCAAGAGAGCGTCCACACTGCCATGGATGCTCTTGCGTAAAAACACATCTCTTGTGCAAAGCACATGGCAGTGTGGATGCGCTCTTGTGGAAGATTTTTTTGCATAAGAACTCGTCTGCAAAAAAGTTCTTGTGCAAGAAGCTGCCAGTGTAAACATAGCCTGATATTTTTAAGAGGACTTTGTTAAATTATGACACTTCGGCTGTGTCTAGACTGGCAAATTTTTCCGCAAAAGCACGTGCTTTTGCGGAAAAACTTGCCAGCTGTCTACACTGGCCGCTTAAATTTCCGCAAGAACACTGACGATCTCATGTAAGAAATCAGTGCTTTTTGCGGAAACACTATGCTGCTCCTGTTCGGGCAAAAGTCCTTTTGCGCAAAAGCTTTTGCGCAAAAGGGCCAGTGTAGACAGCTCAGATTTGTTTTGTGCAAAAAAGCCCCAATCGCGAAAATGGCGATCGGGGCTTTCTTGCGCAAAAGTGCGTCTAAATTGGCACGGATGCTTTTCTGCAAAAAGTGCTTTTGCGGAAAAGCGTCCATGCCAATCTAGCCGCTCTTTTCTGCAAATGCTTTTAACGGAAAACTTTTCCGTTAAAAGCATTTGCGGAAAATCATGCCAGTCTAGACGTAGCCTTCATGTGTACCATCTTATTCACCAGTGTGGCAGTTATGACATTGTAAAATAGGCACTCAGTAATTTTTTATATATAACATTTTTCAGTGGTTCTGCTATACAACAGGTATTGCTGGGCCTGGGCATGTGTGGTCTATACTGAGAATATTCGTTTGGGTGTGAATGAGCAAATACAGAAATGGAATAGGTTTGGGGAGCATTCCCCAAAATGGACTGCGGGCAGGGAAATCTTGACTTGAACAGTATATGCCAAAGCCACAACATAAGCATCCTTTATTTTTATTTTTTTTAAAAAGACAAGTCAAACCTAGTACATTAAATACAATACATGCTCTTCCTTGCTTCAAAAATATTAAATCTTTGACGTTACAAGAAAGTATTGATACAAACAAAGAGGATTGCAATAAAAACACCAGCCAGCCAGCATTACTACGCAAGTCAAGAACTAAACATCTCCCCTATTCTCTGGAGGGACATAGTGGTCACAGAAAATAAGGGTGCAGGAATATTAGATACAAGAAAGAAAAACAACTTTCTCCTGATGTATGTATGAAATTTGTCCCAAGGTACTAGCTGGGGAATTCTAATACATGAAGCTGTCCTTAAACCAAGACAGGCATTGGATTAGATACATTGGGTGGGGCTGAGGGGAGGGGAAACAAGGTTTGGAGAACTATTAATACCCATTCAGTCTGTCGGTTTTTTTAAAACCTACTTACAGCAAAATCCAGTAAATACCTGCATTATGGAGCTGACAGTTTAGTAGGTGAGAATGTGTTGTGACTGGCTGGAAAAATCACTATTAACTATTAGAAACCGCAGTGCATTAGGGACAGCTATGTAAACATAGACACTGATTTTTTTTATTATTGTCATTTAGCTCATTTTAAGCAATATCAAGAAAAACCTAACACTCAGTTATATTTCCTTGTCTATAGCGAGCAGGACCACAGGAAGCAGCTTAGCAGTGCTGTGACTTGCCACAAACATCTGATTTCCAGCTGGAGCTGATTTGTTGTTGTACGAACACAGTTACTCACCTTGCAACAATTGTAGGACAACTAGCCAAGATGAGGTAAATGTCCACATTTAGTAAACATGTAGTTGCATATCTTGTATTAGGATAGGCAGTCAGTAAGTTGGCCCTGTGTGTGCTGATGGGAAAACACATGGGCTGTGTCTATACTAGGCCACTTATTCCGGAAAATCAGCCACTTTTCTGGAATAAGCTGCGAGCTGTCTACACTGGCCCTTGAATTTCCGGAAAAACAACGACCGCTCTACTGTACAAAATCAGCCACTATTCCGGAAAAACTATTCTTCTCCCGCTCGGGCATAAGTCCTTATTCCGGAACACTGTTCCGGAAAAGGGCCAGTGTAGACAGCCCAGTAGTCTTTTCCGGAAAAGCGCGTCTACATTTGGCCACAGACGCTTTTCCAGAAAAAGGGCTTTTCCGGAAAAGCAGCCTGCTAATGTAGACGCTCCTTTTCCGGAAAAACTGAAAATGGAATAGTATTCCGTTTTAAGCATTTCCGGAAATTCATGCCAGTGTGTAGACAGCCATGCAGTTTGATATTCAGTAACCAGAAGGATTCATGAGAAGGAACTGTAGGGAATATTCAGTAGGAGGTTAGAAAATCATAGGTACTGCCTTCCTTTGAGCTGCTGACTCAAAAAGGCTAGTACTCCCTGAATTAAAAAGGCCAGGGCTCCCTAAACTAGATGCCACCCTAGGGTTTTCACCTCTGATACCAATTCAGCTACTCAGCATCTTGAACTCTGAATACAAATCCTTGGCAAAGACAGTTAAATCTTCCAAATCTACAGAACTGAGCTCAAAGTGTAATTCCACTGGTGGCTGTAATCTCATCTTTTGTATAAAATGACTTTAGAAATACTTCCTTGCTCATTCATGTAGCTTTTATCTGAACAGAAAATTCACAACTTTGTCACTACATTCCTTGAAGCATATTGGAAATATTATTTATCATCATCTCAAGAGCCGCAGAATGTGCTGTACCATTTGGCTATAAAAAAAAATCATGTGCACTGAAGCGCACTCTCTGAGCAGCTGTATTCCTTTTAAAATGCCTCCTTGATAATATTGCTAAATAAATCCTTTTAGTGAAACTAATGGAAACCTCTGAACCCCACTCTGGGTTTGTCCCCACAATTGTAGTGCTTTTAATTTTCAAAGCAATGTACAAACCTCACCATGCCTCAGTGAGGTAGATAAATACCCCCATTTCAGAGATGGGGAAGCAGTGGCAGAGTGGCTAACTGACTTTGCTCAAGGCCACACAGAAAGCAGAGCTGAGATTAAAATGCAGATGTTTCTGACTCTAGTTCCAAAAATCAATCCACTAGCTAGCTGTATTCTTGGTTTGAATTTTACATCTTTGATTTTCTCCGCTAGGAAATGCCTCTTTTGCTTAAGTTCATCTGCTCCTGCAGCTTAGACTCTTTAAAGGGTACGTCTACACTGACATTATTCCAAAATAACGTCTACACTACAAGCCATTATTTTGAAATAATGTCGAGTTGGAGGACTTCTTACTCCAGCTCCTATAACCCTCATTTTATGAGGAATAAGAGAAGTCGAAGGAAAAGTGTTCTTCCTTTGACTTCCTTTCTAGATAGCGCCAAAAGCTGAGTTAAGCTAGTTCAACTTAAGATACACAATTGATGTAGCTTAAGTTGTGTAGCTTAATTTGACTTTAGCCCTGCTGTGCAGACATACCCTTTGTGACCCCAGCAGCTATTTGTAATGTCAAAAAGAATAGCTACTCTAAGGGCATGTCTATATGTGCACTTGATCAACAAAGTAAAATCCCTAGTTGGGGGTAGAAGCATTTTTTTCGACAAAAGTGCTGACAAAGTGTTCATGTATGCTGACTTTTAGTAACAAGGCTTTGTCGACGCAGACTTGTTGGCAAAATCTGAGTAATGTAGCGATCGCCTCAGGTTCTGTCTGAGTCAATATGTCTTGTAAAATAATCCTAAAACAATTAGCATTTTTTAGTGATGCACTTATAACAGTCCCACATTGTTACATTATAAAGTGGAAGCCAGATCCTGCTCTTCATTCAGCTGGTTTGCTCGCACAAGTAAGTCAAGCAGGATTTGGTGCTTGGTTTTACAATGGGCAAAATAAACATTTTTTTTCCTAGATAGAATCAGCTGCTGCTGAGCAATTTTTGCCTTTAAAGTACTGAAAAGTACGTTTAAAAAAGTGCATAAAATCCTAAGCCATTCATCCAGTGCCTGTGAAAACTGACACACCCTCAAAAGAGGTGAAAGTCTGTGTCATGTTTGTTGTCATTCCAGCATGTGAGAGTTTAAAATGTGGCATAGTAGACTGAGCATGTGATTACTGTACAAATAGGGGAAGACTCAGAAACTGAACCTTCAGAATTCACTTTTTCTTTTATTTTGGGTTCTATTTATAAATTTTAACAAATCGAACAAAAAGTACACGTAGATAACACTAAAATACAAAATTCTTGTAGGATGCAGTTAAGGACAATTACTGCAGCCTTCACCTTGTAGCAAAACATTGGTATCAAACATTTAACAAGTTCTTGCATGACAACAACTATCTTGCATGCAATTTATATTTACAGTCCAGTTAAAAAAGACTTCAATACAAAATGAAAAAAATGCACATGTTATGTCCCACTCCACGTTAGGCTTAAACAAATGGTACTTTTAAAATAACTTTGACCAAAGGGAAGAGTTCCCATTATTCCTGACCATTCTAAGAGCCTCATTATCAGAGTGGTTGAACACATGCAGCTCCCATGGACTATGTCTACACTAGCAGGTTATTTTGAAATAAAAACATGTTCACTGGGGCACTTTAATCGACTCCCATTGCAAAGTTAATTTGAGATAATAACTCCCAAAATAACTACTTTGAATAAGCTTATTACTCTTCACAAGCAGGAGTTATTTGGAAATAACAAGCCCATTATTTTGAAATAACAGGCTGGGTACTGTGGACATTCCTCTTGTTATTTCAAAATAACTCCCCAGTGTAGACATGCCATGGATTCCTGTGAGGACTCAGCACTTCTGAAATCAGGCCCTAAATATCCTGCTATATTTTAAAGTGCTGGAACAGTAACATACATGGACAAGAGAGAATTGGTGAGATCATCTAACTTGACACACTGTTAGCATTCAAATAAAATCCATGCACAGCTTCATAATTCACTACAAATATTATATTGTTAAAAATGCCCTAAGAAGGTTTTCCCATATCTAACAAGGTGTATCATTAACTTGGAAAATAAATCTGGGTCTAAAGGGATCACAGTGATCCCAAAAAGTGATCTTCAGCCCAAAAATACATGTTTATGAACTACTACATAGGAGAGAATGAAAACTGAATGTAACTATGGATCTTCTCAATAGTGCATGGGTTAAAGGCGTCTGAAAATTCTGACAATATGCAACATTTTGCAATTAGTTTAGCTCATTTGTGACTCCTTGTGTGTGCAGAAAAACCTGTGAACTCTCTTGGCCATAGTTAGGAAAACAGAACAGTGTGGTTAATGAAAGGAAGAGAGGAAACTTTGCTCCATTGTACGGAGTGTGTCTGTGACAGAGTGGAGAAAGTAGACAATTTTGGTTTGGGAGCTATGAGTCTGATAGAGAGAGATTCTAGAACCAACTTGTTGTTAGACTGGTTTTGCCGCTCAGTAATTCAGATTTGGAATGCGCAAGGGATAAGTACTCCCACAAAACAACCATTGACCTCAGCAGGGCAAAATCAGGGCCTAATTCTTTGGACACTGACTGAAGCCAGCCTCGATGCCAAGAACAGATTTGTAGAGGGGAATAGCTAATGGGGATACCTGCGGAGTCAGAGTTACATAGGTTGATAGGAAGGCTGACTAAAGGAAGAGACAAAGCCAAATTCTCTGTCCATTGCACAAATACAATACCCACTGGAGTCCATGAAGGTTGTGTGCACGTAACTAAAGGTGGACTTTGACCCATGTCACTTTCTGTAGCATCAAGTTTTCCTCCTCTTGCCTTTCTAGTTAGTGGCAAGTCTTCAGGGGTTATGTTCCTTCTCACTAACCAGAATGAAATATCTTAACTAAAAGTAAAATCTGAAAGTAAATTTCAGTGAAAAATAGTCCTGTTCTAACCAGCTGTGTAGTTGACAGGAAGAAAGGCAGATTCATGGTTTCCTAAAAATAGCAGCTGTATGGAAGTGTTAGTGTGAAATCCCACTGTCTGTAATAGAGTGACAGTAAGTGCTGGAATGGGTCTGTCTGTTGATTTTCTGATCTTTTTTAAATATCAAAACTTCTCTTAACAAATGTGAAGCCTTGTATTATTCCTGGTGAGGCTGCAAGTACCTCCTATTATTCCCAGGTGGACTTATATAAGGAAGCTATTGCCTTATATAGCTGCACAGCCCTTTTAGCATACTGGTATACTTCATATAGATTATCAGACAGGACAAGCATTACATTTCGGAAAGAAAAGCAAACAGTCCTCATAGGTTATTGGCGAACACAATCATTCCAAAAGGTGAGGTTTAAATGCATAAAGACTGTCCAGGCCCAAACCACAGAAACTGACAACCAGAAATGTGGCACAGTCGCCTTAGTAAAATAGTTCTATGCTTTTTGCTCATAGTAGCAACACAAACAAAAAGTGATCCATTCATTTTGCAAGGCAGCAAGAAGATAATTCAGTATATCAAATAGTTAGTAAATATCACAATTCTAGTGCATGCAGGCCTGTGTTTTCTCAATTGACTCTGTGTGTGTTGTGTGTTTTGGAAAGAGGAGGTGCTCACATACACTTGGGAGAAAACCCGAGAGGATCACTCCCACTGAACAAAGCAATTTTGTCTTCTTCAGTGGTATTTCCCTGCAGTCTGACCATCAGTTGGAATTTACCAAGCCACTCTTTCTTGCTGACTTAGTATCCCTTTTAAAGTAGTAAGTAAACTAGAAGTCCAAAGGCATGAATTGTTCCTGGTTCTGGTTGTGAGAGAGAGCTGTGCTATCTTCAAGGTCCTTAGCCTGTCTCTAGGGTCAATCGCTGAGGATGGCCCCCGGCAGCTCGTTCGTTAGTGTGTGCCAGCGCTCTATTTTCTTGTCCTTGTTTTTCAGGCAATCAAACCAGTGCTTCAGCCGTTCCCCTTTGGCATTAATTCCTAATACTACGCCACCTTAACACAGAGAGAGAGGGACAGTCAGCTCATTCCTGCAGAGATAAGCCAAGCTGTGCCAGTCAAGCCAGACAGAGAAGTATTACTGAAAGTGAAATAGATGCAGGGTGACAGATTTCCATACTCATTGGTAGCTACTGGAAACAGATATTGAGAAGGGTGAGTGGCAAGGGGAGTACACAGGTACCTTTTCTTCTTTGTAGCTTGGATGGATGGAGGCGGCTAGTAGTGGGTACAATCATTGGGTAGATGAACACTTCCTGGCTAGATTATCCTGGCCCCACCCACTTACAGCTGGGTGTGGAGGAAGAAATACATCTCTCAAGCACTGTTAATGGGGGTGGCTTTGTCCCACGCTGCCTTTATGGCACTGCCCCCCTCCTTTGAGTTTAATACTCTTGGCAGTGTTCAAACTTCAAGTGATTTGTTTGTTTAATTTGTTGCACTAGAAGTATCCATCTTGATTTAACAGGTCCCTTGGTATGGGGAGAGGGATTGGGCTAAGATCTGACCGAGAAAAGGAAAGTTCATTAAATCACATGCCAAAGTGTTCTATGCTCAGAGGAGCAAACATGGAAACTGGAACAGCCTGTCCTTTTTAAGAATGGCCCAGAGAGGGACTGCAAATGACCCTCTGATTCCAAAGGCATACAGAAGTAACGAACTCTTGACTATAAATCATTATGGTCACAAAACAAAATGACCGCTGCATACTACAAAGGTGGTTTGAAGCCTTTGCATTCAACAAAGACATATTAAACCTCCATTTTCACTTGTCTCTGGCTTTCAGAAGAAAAGGCTTGTGTGTGGCTGGCTAGTGCAGGGGAGAGTTACACCTGCCTGCTGCACATGTTCACTGGGGCACTTTAATTGACTCCCATTGCAAAGCAAAATGGCAAAGTGCATAATAGAACTTTGGTGTGTGGCAGCAGGGCGCATTGGGCAGGCAAGTGTGTGCTAGATTCTACCCCTGCATCCCGTAAGGTAGGTGGTCAGATTCACATGCCCAAAGCAGCATTCAACTTACTTCAAGAATATCTTACTTACCAATAAAATCATTTGACTTTCCAATGTCATAATCCCACACTGTGACTTCTAAGGTCTTCTTTGCCAGGTCACCATGCTTTATCTCATAACAAAATTCCTGTTGTGGGGAAGACACCGAATTCAGGAGGCAGCATGTTGTTACCAAGATCACAGCGGTGCATCTAACCAAGTGGGTTTTACCCACGAAAGCTGATGCCCAAATAAATCTGTTCATTTTTAAGGTGCCACAGGACCCCTCATTGTTCTGGCTATGCTAGTGCAGTGCAACGTGGTTTTACAGAGCATCCTCAATGCAAAGATGTTTTGCAGAAAATGCTTGTACGCTACAGCAACAAGGAAGGTTTAAGGTACAATTCAACAGGACTCACTGGCTTGCCAAGTGTGGCAGCTGAGTGGAACAAAGGCACGGTAGGTCAGGGATAGAAGCAGTAGGCTCTGAGGAGCATGAAGAAAGTGTTTGCTTACTAGGATCACTGCATATGCCCCTTGGTGCCACTTGTTTTCTGGCCAGGACAATTCTCATTTACCAATGATAGAACATGCACAAGGAAGTGAATCACAAGCTGGGGCTTATGCTATGTGTCGGCGGTGACAGTGGAGGAGAGGGCTTTATTTGTATATGATTAACACGCATTGGTCATTCCAGGCAACAGTCCTACCACTGAGACACCTAGCAAGTGGTACACCATAATACGTCTACACTGGCGCGTTCTCACGCAAAAACTCTTTTGCGGAAGAGTTCTTTTGCAAAAACACTTCCACAGGAGAGTGTCTACATTGGCATGTGCTTTTGCGCAAGAGCATCCATGCCAGTGTAGACGCTCTCTTGCGCAAGAAAGCTCTGATGGCCATTTTAACCATAGGGCTTTCTTGCGCAAGAAATTCATGTTGCCTGTCTACACTGGCCTCTTGTGCAAGAACAGTTGCGCAAAAGGGCTTATTCCTGAGCGGGAGCGTCAGAGATCTGGCGCAAGAAGCCCTGATTTCATACATTACAGTAAAACTCCATTAGTCCGGCATTCAACGCTCCGGGACTCCTGATGGTTCGGCACCATCAGGAACCCGGAAGTGCTGGGGCAGCCGGACAGGCTTCCCCCATTCAGCTGCTGCTGAAACTGACCAGCAGCTGAATCGGGGAACCGGGAGCAGAGCAGCTGGGGTGCTGCCGGGTTGGTCTCGTAGCGCTGCCCCTCGGGGCTGCGGGACCAACCCGGCAGGGCCCCAGATGCTCTGCCCCAGGGGGCCCCAAATCACGCACCGC